CAGCCTAGGTTGACAACAGCCATATTCCTCACTCTGATGGAAGGAGCTCTATTGCTTGCAGGGGAAAAAGGAGGTGGAAAGAGTAACTCTTAAAGAACTCGTCTCTTCCTCAGAACCACTAGTGTACACATGGGTGCTCACAGCCTGAAAAGGAGCACCCACAAACATAGGGACTAGGGTATTGGTTACAAGACCAGTAAAAATCTTCTGTGAGAGATCTCTGAGACTAAAAGATGAAGCAAATTTCTACTTACCATAATAAAGCCCTCTGAGTAGGTAGCTGAGTGCTGAGATTTATAGCAGCTAGGGGAAATGGGTTCTTACTGGTGTGGTAATTATTGACTCAAATGGTCTGCAATCACTGGGATAGGACTAGAAGAAACACTTGGGATATTTTTTTAATGCTCCCTATTTGCAGATAAAAAGCCTTCTCTGCCTCTTCCCTGTCTTAAGCCTACAAGAGAAGTGTTTTGTTTTAGGTATTGAACCTCTTCATCATTTAAGGGAATGCAAGGCAGCTGAGTGAGTTGTTACCTCATCAATACAGTCCAACCTGTGAGAGCTTCCCCTGCCTTATTTGACAGAGAGTTGAAAACAGATAGGAAGAAAAGTATATTCAGGAGAGCAGGAAGTCTTTTTTTCTCCAGTCAGCAATATCTAAATGTTATCCAACTGCATCACAATCACCCCACGCTGTTACCCATACACCACCACAATGTCACCACTCGCACACACATACAATCCTGTTCCTCCCTCTGTTCTCCCCATCCATTACACATTATCAGCACAGAAACACTTGGGTACACGCTTCCATCCATATAGATTGCACAAGCCTCGCGCATTAACAAACACATCATTTTTCACACCCGCATTGCCCAGTAATGTTATAAAACACGAGACTTTACAGATAACATTTGTACTGCCTACCAACCTAAAGCATTCTGCTCCACTTACCCAAATGATTCTGTGATTTCTTTCATGAGACTCATTCCCCATTTATGAACATCCTTGAGCAGCTCAAAAAATACATCATAAATAAATGCTGCCAGTACTACGCAGACCAGTTCTGCATGTTCTTTCCTAAAACATCTAGTTCACTGAATTGGCTCTGGAGGTATCTTAATTTATTTTTTTTTTTTAAAGCACAAAAACTCCTGCAATTAACCAATGAGGTGGGGTTGTAGGGGGGGTTCGTTAAAACAAGCTGTGATTTTTTAGCAAATTGCTGATTTGAAACACCTGTTATTTTTCAAAGGAAAGTTTGTTTAGAAGAATTTTCAATGTAAAGCAATGCTGAAGAAAATGTTGTATAATTTGTCAAGGTATTCATTTTTTAAATAAAATGCTTGGGGGGAAATCAAAATTACTCTTCATATTGACAGCTAAGTTAGAGTAACAGTAAGTAAAAGTGAAAACATCAACACAAAATTCTTCTAAATGATCAAAATGCAATTTTTGATAGACCCAAATCATTTGCTTCTCCTCCTGATCCCCATGCACCTTGGTTTTTGACTTGGGGGGAAAAAAAAGGAAAAGAAAAATTCAGCTTTTGAGTCCAATTCAAGAATCTGGTCTTTATCGGAAGCTATGAGGCACGCCATGCTAAGAGATGAATCCATTCGAGGGAAAAGCTGCAGCATGCCACTAGAAAATCCCACCCACCAGCGGCGCTGGGGTGTGTAGGTACTTTTATTCCTCCAACCCCCCCAGGGCAGAAAGGCCAGTGCACCATGCAGAGGAACAGCCAGCCTGCCTCCGAGCCACCCGCCTCCGAACGAGGACTGGAAGCGCAGCAGCAGGGAAATGCAAGAATCCTGAAGCACGGAATTAAGGAAATCTAGTGATTAGAAAAAGAAATAAAATAAAATAAAATCCTCTGTGCAGGACTCAGAGCCTCTAACCTAGGGGAGAAGGAGCAAAGCCTGTCTCTGTGCCAAAGCCCAGGCAGGCGGGGGACAGGCAACCCATTGCATATCCCCTGGCAGAGGCACTGGAGGAGGCAGCCTGTGTTGGCCACTTGGCACAGTGGAGCCCGTAGGTCTCCTGCCAGCTTCAGCTGCGCTTCCTCCCCTGCACCCCCATCGCCTGCTATTCAGCCTCAGTTCGGCCGTGCCCAGCGCTGCCGGCATCGCTCCCCTTCACCACAACCTTTGGTGGCTTTGGGAGAACAGAAAAAGATGAGGAGCTGCTTTTGCATTCGCCGGTACACCCCCAAGCGGGCAGCGAGAAAAAGGGGGAGAGAAGGCACGGACAAGTTTTGGATAGCTCGCAGAGGTGCAGGCTCGGCTGGCTGGCTCTGGAGGGATGCGCTCAGAAGCAGTCCGGCGGGGGTCACTGCCTCTCAGAGCCACGACTGCAGTTTCCTAGAGTAAGAGCTCCCCAGAGTTGTGCTCAGCAGGGTTACAGAAGTGTTCAAGGCTTGTTACCACAGCTTTCAGTAAATAACAATTAATGTTAAATAAGTGTTTTGGTTTGGGGTTTGGTTTGTGTTTTTTTTTAAGGGCACAGTACTTTCCCACCCCCTTTTAACTCCTTCAGATATCTTTGGGCTTGCTTGTGAGGTGCCTTTCTCCTTCCGTGCAGTCCCAATATTCCTGCTTCCCCATCCTCGCACCCTCCAGATCAGAGAAAGGAAATTACTGCTGGCTATAAAACTAGATCCAGCAGTGGTCTGGGTCTGGTTTATATCATGTCTGAAGTTTGGGAGCAGTAGAAAAGGCAGCTCCAGTTTTGCAAACCACCCCCATCCCATCCCATCCCATCCCAAAACCCAGGGAGGGCAACTGTGTTGCCTCTGCCTTCTCAGAGGGTACCCATTAAGACAGCCCTCAAAGGACCTTCCCTGATGCCTTCAAAATCAGAATAGACGTGGCTGATACAACGAGCAATAGTAACTCACTAAATAGAAGGTAAAAGCCTGTAAATGCCTGTAGTCTGGCATAAGCTACAGCTATAAGAAAGGACTAAAACAGCTCCTGGTTGTGCTAGTATCGGGATGCTCTGGTCGCAACTTGGGGAAGGCTTGTGACTTAGAAACACTGCATGGAGCAAGCGCCGTCGACGACAGGCTAGGAAACATGCATCAGAGAGAAAGGCAATGTTCGGAGTCTGTGATTTGCCAGTGTCCATCTTCCTTGACAGGTCTGTGCCTACTCCTTCAGAGCAGAGGGAAGTTCACATCAAGCTATGCAACTTCATTGCTGACATTAGCTAATTATGTTACACAAATACCGGTTCTCCTCTTGCCCCCCATACATCCTATATGCTGGAAAAAATCCTCCTCCCCTGTCAGAAATAGCCACTTCACAGCGAGGAAATCAGCTGGAAGGTGCTGGTGCTGGATTCACAATCCAGAGTTCAGAGAATGCAAGTTAGAGAAAATATGTGACAGTGAAAAGCATGTGTACGCAACCCAGTAACAGAAGAAGTGAGACTGTATGAAAAGGAGCGCTCAGTAAATGTGAGAAGGTAAAAAAACTGAGGCATTTCATAGTGAGTGCTTGCAGTAGAGCCAGGCAAGTGTGAGGCTGCATCAGAGAGCATGTGTGTGTCAGGGAGCATGCCTGTATGGGAATTTGCTTAGTAGGTGCAAAATAGAAGAGGACGGTGCATGCAAGACTATGTATAAAAGTAGGAGCTAAGGGGAACTGAGGATGCTGTGACTGGGCATATCTCCATGCACGGCACTCATGCACTAGTATGCACAAGAGTGAGAGAAAAGCGCTCTGTCTATGGTGAAGACAGTCAGAGCAAGATACCCTCTAAGGGTGCAGCTCACTGCAAATGCAAGACCGTGAGGAACAGAGTAGACCAGATAGAGTACATATATGTTCTTTATTTATATATTCACCTATATGCGTGTATATGTGTGCACGCATGCAGGCTTACAAGGCTGGTGCAGCAGGATAGGCAAGGGAGTTTTATATGCAAGCAACCACGAACACTAGTGTGCAGGATGGAGAGAGAGCGCAAGAAAAGGCTTGAAGGAGGTGGGGGGAGAGTGGAAGAGAGAACGTGAGCGCGAGAGAGGCAGACTGGCACTCCAGGAATTGCATGTGCTAGGGAGCTAGAACTGTATGTGCCAGAGTGAGTTTATTCATCTTCCCTGCTCTATTCATGAGTGTGTATATATGTGTGTGTGTGTATATGTGTGCATGTGTGAAGGACCACTGGTGTATATAAGTGAGTGTGGATCATGTACAAGCTGCGATTTGGAGGGCTATGATTATATGTACATGTGCGACATGTATTTATACATACAGCATGGGATGCATTAACCCTTAACTCCTGTTTACAGAAAGCATCTCAAAACCAGCTAGCATGCCTGTCATCACTTCAAACTAAATTCCATACTCACACTTGGCTCTTAAAGCAAGAAACCCAGCTGGCAATTCTCCACTGAACAAAATCCCATACCCAACAAATTTTCTTCTCCTGTCTTTCCTCCATCACTCCCTCTTTTTTTTTTCCCTGGTGGAGGGGAAGGACATAGTGTTTTCGCAGGCAGACCAGAGGCATAGAGGTTCCTCTAACCTCCCCCTCTCGGGAAAAAACAAAAAAAAAAAAAAAAAAAAAAAAAAAAAAAAAAAAAAAAAGAAACTTAACACTGATCTCCTCAGGAAGGTGAAGAATCCAGGAGCATCAGTACTTGTGATCCAAAGTGCTGAGAAACAGTGGCTGTGGATGGAGGGGATACCCACCTTCACCCACCCCTCTTTTCCTTTGCAAATCTTACTGTGCCCCCCCCCAAACTCCCCCTCTGCAAAAGCATAAATACAGCAGCAAAGTGAGTCACATGCAGTGCCCTCTAACCATAGGATTCACCAGCAGCGATCTCTCCTTGGCTTATTTCCTGAGGCGGGGGGGGAAGGTTTGGAGGGGAAGAGGGGGGGAGAGGAAGCTCCTGCTTCCAGCTCCATGTTTCAGGCCATCCTCAGTCCATCAGCCTCAATTCAAACAGAAGGGTTTGAGGAGGTTGCAAGAAAGAACTCATCACATACCTTGCAAGGAGAAGAGGGACAGGAAGAATCCCAGCACCCAGATACTGTGCAGCCAGTAGGTCCTCATGCTTCTCTCTCACTCGCTCCGCTTCCTCTGCCTTTTTCTCCGTCTCTTCGCTTCTCTCTCTCTCTCAATTTATCTTTTTTTTTTTTTCCCCCCTTCTCTCCTCTCAAAGAAAATGGGATTTGTGTCTCCCTTCAGTCCCCCTGGGCTCTGCTTTACCAGCTCTGACAATCCAGTCGCAGCAAAAGCTGACCTACGGTGGCCAGATTCCCAAATAACCTCGCACTCTCCCCTTCAAGTGCTGGAGAAAGGGGGGGCCAGGTTAGATGCTTGCCGTAGCCTGCGCTGGCTGTAAACACAGAGAATCTCTCTGTCTCTCTCCTGCAGCTCCAACTAAATGCGACTGTACTTAAACAAGCAATGCCTTATAGGACAGCGCTCAGAGCAGAAAAGATCCCACCTCTGCCACCTAGTGTTGCAAGCCAGCTCATTTATTTTATTTTTATATATATAAATATATATATGTTATGCTATAGAAATATGGTTCTCTCATTCCTCTGCAAATGTATCTCTTGGATCACAGGTCTATGAGCCACGCTGGGCCCAGGAGTCCCTAAGGCTCCAGCTCCAGCTGACATGGGGAGGTTATTCAGCGAAGGAATATTCCTCATTGCCACAACAAGAAACGCAGCGGGGCAGGTTTGATTCCTCAGCAGAGTTCTGCTTGACAAATTCTGAAGCAAGGGTCTCTCTGATGCTGGTGTCACTGCTGGGCAGTACACAGGGACCAGAGGGAGATTCAGACACACTGATTGTAATTACAGAGCTGCCAAGGACTCCAGGAAAAATAGCAAGCATCAGGCTGCATTAATCTTTGCTGGATCTCCCGTGACTTCCGTGCAATTTCAGAGGGACCAGAAGGAATCCTTGTGTGAAGGAAATCCAGCCTGCAAAGCCACCATTTGCCCACAGAAAGCTTCTTCTGCTACCCCTCTCCTTTCAAATACAGGTTCCTCCTACCATACGTAGCACGAACTTTTTTTCCCAAGGAGTAATTAGCTCCTGTAGCTCTATTGCCCCCTAAAATCATTGCCTCTGATGAAAGGAACAGCAGTAATGAAGTACTACTTAACATTCACACAGGGCTTTTCATCAGTCCCTCTCCAGACATTTCACAAAAGGGTGTCCTTTTGCACCTGGGGACATGGAGGCAGTGCGACTGCGCAACTTTTGAGAGGCCAGTCCCTGGGATGCAGTGTGACAGCCCAGGTGGGCTGCCTACCCAGCCCCGTGGCCCCTCTTCAGGCCACATTGCCCCCTTCACTGCGGTCACCATGGCAGCCCATGAGGATACCACCGCTAAAGGGTACCAATCTCCAATTTACACAGTGCGGATGCGGGATGCTATGGTGAGCATGCACGTGTAGGAAAGGTGTGTAGGATTCTTGTCATTAATGACGCCGCTCCAGAAGTATTTCTTATTAGACTGCTGCAGAGCAAGCTGTTCTGTGAACAGAATGCACCAAGCCTGCCTTCCTGCGGGTTCTTGTCTGCTGTCTCCAAAATCCCCCCTCACGCTGCTGTAACGAAAGCCAGATCCCATCATATCCCCTGTAGGGAAAAGAAACGGCATGCTGTGGCTAGCTTGGAAACATGTGCTTCTTTCCTAGTGGACCAAAATGCACACTGCAATGCAACGCAACGCAAAATGCAGTCACCATTTGGCCTGGCTGGCTGCTGCCAGGTACCACCTGCGTTATTCATGCTTTCTCCCCCATGGAGGGAGTAGGGCATTACCTAATCACCAGTTTTTAAAAGACATACAGGAACAAGCTACTTTTCATCCTTCCACCCTCTTTTAAATGTGGTTGAAATTGGTTGCGCTGAAAAATTATTGGGAGGAAGAACATATGGACAAACAGATACACATGTGCTATTAGCTATGCTTCATTTCCCAAGGAAATAAGACTAAAAATATTAGAGTGGGTTAAAGTCAACTGACTCTAGTCAACTGGAGGAGCATGCTTCTTTTTCATGGTTTCCCTTTTACATGGTTTTCATCCTCTGACAGTATATTGCGTTTCTGTGGCAAGGTTTTGGTAGCGGGGAGGTTCTAGGAGTGGTTTCTGTGAGAAGCTGCTAGAAGCTCCCCCTATGTCCGATAGAGCCAATGCCAGCCGGCTCCAAGATGGACCTACCACTGGCCAAGGCTGAGCCCATCAATGACGGTGGTAGTGCCTCTGGGATAACGTATTTAAGAAGGGGGAAAAGTTGCTGTGCAACAGCAATTGCAGCAAGAGAGAGAGAAGTGAGAACATGTAACAGAAACAGCCCTGCAGACACCAAGGTCAGTGAAGAAGGAAGGGGAGGAGATGCTCCAGGCGCCGGAGCAGAGATTCCCCTGCAGCCCATGGGGAAGACCATGGTGAGGCAGGCTGTCGCCCTGCAGCCCAGGGAGGTCCGTGGTGGAGCAGATCTCCACCTGCAGCGCAGGGAGGACCCCATGCCGGAGCAGGGGGATGCCCAAAGGAGGCTGTGACCCCGTGGGAAGCCCACGCTGGAGCAGGGTCCTGGCAGGACCTGTGGGTCCATGGAAAGAGGACCCCACGGTGGAGCAGGTTTGCTGGCAGGACTTGTGACCCCGCAGGGGACCCACGCTGGAGCAGCGTGCTCCTGAAGGACTGCACCTCACGGAAGGGACCCACGCTGGAGCAGTTCATGAAGAACTGCAGCCTGTGGGAAGGACTCATGTTGGAGGAGTTCATGGAGGACTGTCTCCTGTGGGAGGGACCCCACGCTGGAGCAGGGGAACAGCGTGAGTTCTGCCCCTGAGGAGGAAGGAGCGGCAGAGACAACATGTGATGAACTGACAATAACCCCCATTCCCCGTCCCCCTGCGCCGCTGCGAGGGGTAGGTAGAGAATTTGGGAATGAAGCTGTGCCTGGGAAGAAGGGAGGGGTGGAGGGAAGGTGTTTTCAAGATTCAGTTTTATTTCTCATTATCCTACTCTGATTTGATTGGTAATAAATTAAATTAATTTTCCCCAAGTCAAGTCTGTTTTGCCCATGATGGTAATTGGTGAGTGATCTCTCCATGTCCTTATCTCAACCCATGAGTCTTTTGTTATATTCTCTCTCCCCTGTCCAGCTGAGGAGGGGAGTGATAGAACGGCTTTGTGGGCACCTGGCATCTAGCCAGGGTCAAACCCACCACAGATACCAACACAACATGGTCTGAAAGAGCACACAGGCAAAAATAAACTTGCCACTCAAGATGCACTTGCAAGTTAGCGTGCCAAAAATCAAGTAGTGACAATCAGTTTGTCGGCCTGGAGTGGGAGATACATGGGGTTTGATTTTTATTGCAGGAATCCCAACCAATGTCTAGCACAGGTTGAGGGACCTGCTAGGCCAGCACCTTAATACCACACCAGCTCTATACATTTCTAACTCTTATGACTGTCCATATGCTTGGCATCCCTCCTTTCATTTGTCCTATACCTTTATATGGCATTATATCCATTCGTACCCTGTCACAAATCTTCTCCTCAGCCCCATACATGGCACCAAAGCTCATCTGCTATCTATCCCAACTTCCCAGCTAACCACAGCCACATGCATAACCTCATCTCTCACCTACCTTACACGTAATCCTACAGGGCTCCACAGCCCTACCACTTTCATCAGATCATTAGGCAACCATTCAAAGTTTGCTTTACCTACAGACAACCTTATGCATGATCCCATAATATACAGCTCTCAAGTGCATAGCCATCTCACACTTTGGATATGAATATCCCATGGCCTGTTGGGTCCAGTCCTCTTTGGAGTCTTTAAGCATTTATGTAATAGAAATTGTATTGAAAGAATAATAATAAATAATAAACAATAAACAATAATAAACATCAATGATAAATAATAATAGAATTGGATCTTTGCTCCATAAATTGCATAGGGATAAAACTTGTGTGAGACGATGCTGAACCCAGTATTGTTCTCATACAGAATGGGCAGCGGTAGTTACAATTCCAGAGAGAAGAGGCAAAGGAAGAAGCAGTTTCTCAGGCAGCAGCATCTTACACTTCCCTGGAGAAGCCAGCATGACTGAAAGGAGAAACAGCTATTTCTTACAACCTATTTGACATACTCCTAACCTTCAGAAACATTCAGGGCTAGATTTTGGCTCCCTTGCTCGTGCTGAGTCATACCAACAGGGTTACTTGGGACATTAGGCTACTAAATATGAGCAGGAGTATCAGATTCTGTGGGCTGAAGTCCTCTGGGGTTGGTCTCCTGCCAAAAGTGAGTCCGCTTTTCATGTGGCCAAATCCCTCAGCTACCTACACATTGTGAGGGCAAAAACAGAAGCAAGAATTACACCCAACTCTCCCTAAACCCCCAAACATTAAAAAAAAAACCAGCAAAAGAAAAACAACTAAACCCCAATACACACAATAGTCCTTGTTCTTCAGTCCTTTCTTTTTAAATTACTGCAGTTCTTCCACTTACCCCAGTATTCAACAGCCAGATGAACCATAGAAATATCAGCTATTGAAGAGCACATCTACAATCTTGTATTAAAAAAAAAAAAAAAAGAGAGGTTGGATTCTGACAGAGCGCTGAATGATTGAAAGCTGGCTACTTTTAATGCATAGTAAAAGTATTTCATTAAGGCTGAGTGGGTGCATTTAGATGCACTGTGCATGCATGCTTGTCCATTTTTTAATAAATAAATGTGCTTTGTGCAATTAACTGTTTAAGCACTCACACTTTCATTTCTATTTCATCTTAGCTTTAGTCACTTCACGCAATATCAATATTAACTTGATTGTGCAGCACACACATAATATTTTCTCTTCCAAGTTTTTATACTGAACCTACCATAAAATGCTTCTCAAGCAGGCATGTTAAAGTTGATGGAGGAACTTTTAACTTTTCCATTACAGATTTTTTCAAATTACTGTTATTTAACTGTGCAAATGTCATGTTGCATTAGCAAAAGGCTTAGTGGTTTTTTTACTTTAATAGAAATAGTATTGAAAACACAGTTGGTCATGCAAATTTTGCAGGGTTTACATAAGAGAATGAGTGGTCCTGAAATTTAAAGCTGAGAGCTTGGTAAAGCGAGCAGGAGACAAGAGGCATAGATTACCCAGGAGTGTTTTTTTCTAAATGTTTTAGTGTCCTGTCCTGCATGTCTGTCTCTGACATATGTGTATTACTACTTGTTTTATTGAGTGTTGTATCTGTGGGTTTCATGGCATGTCTTTAGGACTAGTGCATCTGTGATAAATAGCGCATTTTAGTGTGATTTAGAAGAGTGTTGTGGCATGTGCTGCATGTGATCTTGGGAAAGGGAGTGGAAGGAGATGTTCTCTCAGCAAGAAATACTCAT